CGACACCTCATGATCACACAGGTTGGTGTGCTTCTTCCATGTGGGCTTATTTGCTTCCCTGTTGGATGGCTGCTTGTTTAACTCAGAGCCTTTAAGACCCCAAATGCAATTATTAATCTCTTTCCATCCAAAGGAAAGAAGAGTGATAAACACAGAAGACTCGTGGCAGCAATTAGTCAATGAGCTACACCAACATCACTCTCCATGATCCCGAGGCCAGAAGAACTACATGGTGCCCAGTGACCACCATCAACGGCTCTGAGAAGGAGTGCATCTGCAGCTCTCAGATCGAAGAGGAGAAAAATTCGGAGCAAAACCCAGTCATAACAACAAACAAACCAACAAACATGCTGGTCAGATAGAGAACCCTGAGACTATGGCCCTGAGCCACCTTTCACACCTGGAATAAACTCTCCACTGTGCCTCAATTTTTAACCAAACAACAGAAAGGTCTAGAAGGGAAACAGTAGCACTGATGAGGTGCACAGCCCTTCCTTCTGAGACGCAACCACCTGTGATCAAAAGAGCAGCATTCACCAGAGGATGCCGTTCAGGAGGGTTAGGAGAGGAGGTGGAACGGACACCGGAGAGGTGAGTGGGGGGGAGTAGGATTAAGTGATGCTACATTGTGCGGATCACAGCAATGACAGGAAACAAAGTGTGTATAAATTATTGAAGGGAAAACTGATATGGTCTGTCAAAATCCACTCAATTCACAGTCAACAGATTTTTTTAAATGTATAGTCTCTGAACAGGAAGTAATGGTTCTACTCTGCTCTGTGAGATTTGGAATGAAGCAGGGAACCAGTGGAGAGGTCTAAGGGCCCAGCCCCAATCCCAACTACGTGGACAGCCACTCCTCCCCCCAGAAGAATTCACTTCAGAGGACAGCACTGAAGCTGCAGCTCAGGGAGAGGGACATGTCTGATCAGAGCACACAGGAGCACACGAAGGGGAGGAAGAGAGAGTGGAGCACATCCTGGCCCACCAAGCCCTGCGGACGATATCCCTGCTCAGAGCAGCCAAAGCACACAGAAGACCATAGGGCCAGCCCCACTATGAGACACGATGAACCTCACTGACCCATACCCCTACAGGGGACAACACTGGAGACACAGTGTGGGAACTGCGCCTGATCTGACCCCCCACACCGAGGCAAAACAGTAAGGGTGTGCAACAGAACAGCAAGAGGAACAGAGCAAGGAAGTCCCGGGGGAATACCAAAAATAGACTGTGGGGCCAGGGCGTGGCACCCCATCAGACTCCACAGGAAAACACTCCTAAAGGTCAACAAACAGACCTTGAATTATTTGCAGGCTTTTCTCTTTTTTTTTGTCATTGTTTTTGTTGTTTTGTTTTCTTTTGTTGCTTTGTTTTACTCTGTCTTGTTTTTGTGCATAGTATTATCTCTGAAGGTCTGTCTAGATAAGATAAG